AACAACAGCCCTTATGTCATAAAGTAAGTGCTCTCAACCACTGAGTCATCTCCCCAGCCTCCTTTGCATTTTTGTTTGCTTTTCTTTGAGACAAGGTAACACCATGTAGCCTAGTGCTGGCACCAGTATGGAATTTCATTTTATTTTTATTTATTTATTTATTTATTTATTTATTTATTTATTTAGTTAATTATATATGTATGTATTTATTTTTGCTTTTTGAGTCAGTTTTTCTCTGTGGCTTTGGAGGCTGTCCTGGAACTAGCTCTTGTAGACCAGGCTGGTCTCGAACTCGCAGAGATCCACTTGCCTCTACCTTCCGAATGCTGGGATTAAAGGGGTGTGCCACCAACGCCCAGCTAAAAATGGCCCAAAGACTATTTTTTTTTAAATCACATTTATTATGTTTACAGTGTTATGACTGCATGACAGAAGAGGGCACCAGATCTCATTACAGATGGTTGTGAGCCACCATGTGGTTACTGGGAATTGAACTCAGGACCTCTGGTAGAAGAGACGTGCTCTTAACCTCTGAGCCGTCTTGCCATCCCCTGACCAGTATGGAATTTGTCTCCTATAAACCCAGCTTTTTAAAACCAAAATACAAGTAAAAGAGACTGTTTATCTTTTTTCTTTTTTTTTTTTTTTTTTTTTTTGTTTTTTTGTTTTTTTGTTTTTTTGGTTCTTCGAGACAGGGTTTCTCTGTGGCTGGGCTCCAAATCACAGAGATCCACCTGCCTCTGCCTCCCGAGTGCTGGGATATAAGTTGTATGCCGCCAACACCCGGCTGAGACTGTTTATTTTAACATGATGGAGAAAATACTGGAGGCTCTAACATTATGTTTAAGAGTGAACATAGACTAGTCCGCGTAAGTAGTTTGAGGTGTTCTGTGTGGTAGAAAATAAAATTATTTTTATTGTATTACATAGAGACTTGGCAAGTGGAAGATGCTCCTCATATTCTGCTTTCTCAGGTGAAAGTGCCATGTAAAGTCTGTAAATTATCATGCCTGAATTAGTCTGGCATAAATCTATCCTTTTCAAAATAATTTACAGTATGGCTGAGAAGGTAGTACATGATACTGCATAATGTTAAAGTTGGGTATGCTACCAGTAACATAAATGAAAATAACAGGGTCCTAGAAAATATTAATGGTATATTTCTTCTTATATTAAAAATAAGATAATCCACTGCTTCTCAGCCCTTCGTCTAAGAGTGAGCATGGAACAGGTGTCCACAGCTAGTGTGAATGATCCAGTCCACGGTCATTGTAAACGCAGACTCCACCTATCATGTGATCAGTCGCTCTCAACAGGTAACCTCCACATCATATAGTATAATATAGTTCTTCCAGCTCCGCCCATCAAATCAATACCATAATCAGTAGGAAGAGAAATGGAGGAGATAGGAAGGTTCCCATTAAGCAGCCCCCTTCTTTTCTTGAGACAGCCTCCCAAGAGCTGAGATTACTGGTGTAGATCATCACATCCTGCCCGGACACCTATATTTCTGCCATATTCTTTTGTTCAGAAAAGAGTTTGTGGTTCTACCAAGTTACTGGAAAGGCTAAAAATATTGTATCCTTTTTCAGGCTGACCAGATGTCCAGATAATTTTCAGGGAATTAGTTACTCCAGAAAAAGGAAAGAGAAGGAAAATAGTAATCTTTTGCTGCAAATTATATTTAGAAAAGTCTACCTCTTTTATACATTATATTTCCATATCTTAAAATTGCAGAATATCTCTCCTTCTCCCCCTTCCCTTTTCTACCCTTCTCTCTCTTCCCTTTGTATTCATTATTCAACAGCATCCAATACATGTGAAAAGAGGCTGTAATTAGTAATTTACATCTAAAAATAAACTGGAGAATTGTGCTCTCTCACTTTGTCACATCTTTTGTCCCTCTTTGAGCTGTGCTATCCCTGATTGTATTGGGACTTCTTAGTTAATAGCTTCCTGGTCATGGTGAACCTCACATGAGTACTACATCTTAACGTTGTCCTGACTCTAGGATAGACTCATAAGTAACATGCATTATTCACAGAACAGATGAAATTCAGTTCCCAAAGACCCTCACGAGGGTAGCTAGTTGTTTGTCTCTGTGTGCTTGCCTCCTTGTAAGGGTCTTTACATGCAGGAAAAAAAAATAGTTTAGAAGATTCCATGTGGGAAAGTCTGCAGGCTCCCCAGAGGACGTGCATGTTGGCTGAGGCTGGCAATATAACTTCAGAGTGAACCAGAAGAAAGAGACAAAGAGTATTCATTTAGACACAGCGTGTAGCATTTGTGCAGTGGCATACCCAGAAGGCTAATGTGACATCCTTAAAGCTAGGCATACTGTGAGGCTTACAGAAGAGTCAAAAAGGAGCCCTTCGGTGCCTCATACAAGGCCGGCATTGCTTTCTTTCACAGATGAAGGAACTGAAAATCCAAGCCATTGTGCAGGTGTTAGGCCGTATCGATGGATTCAAACTTGTAGGTAGAATAACAGCCCTGTGCAAATCTTTCCATGTCCTAATCCCTACAACCTGTGACTGTATGAAATTGGGTGACAAAGGGGAATTGCCATATCAAGTGGAGTTACAGTGTCCATCGTCTGACCTTAAAATAGGGTACGCCTAGATGATCACTCTGGGGTGGGTGGCTCCCATGTGTTTCTCAGGATCCTTGAATGTGGCCAAGGTAGGAGGGATAGGTTCTGGCAATATGGAAGAAGCAGGATTCTGCCTGCAGTTGTTGAGTTTGAAGATGGAGAAAGAGAGCCAAGACGAAGGCCACCTGGGTGTCCCTTAGAAGATAGGACAGTCACAGAGGCAGTGTCCCCCAGAGACCACCAGAAAGGAGCAGAGTCCTACTATTACCATGATTGCCACTCAATGAGATCTATTTCAGACTTCTAAACTAGAGAATTGTAAGGTAAATCCAAGGTACTTAGAGTCACTAAGCCTGTGGTAATTCATGATAGCAATGGGAAACTTATACACTGACCCATGGACCCCTGTTTTTTTCCCCTTTTCTACATGTCTTAACTGTTGTAGAGGCTAAACCAGGAACTATAAAAATTAAAATTAATTCCTTTTATAATTCTAAGTTTCTTTAAACCTCATTTCCAAACCATATAGCAAAGGGTACGCATATTTTTGCATGTGCTTCTTAGCTTGGTGAATTTTGAAAGGATGTGGTCATGGCCTTTGACATCAGAGGAGGAGCTCAGCGGTGAGGCTGGTTGGTGTTGATAGAAAAGATAAGGTTAGAGGCAAGTTGCCTTCAAACGAGTCTCTCAAGATCAACTGTATCCTGTTGCATTCCCAGCTGTTTCTCTCCATCGGTTGCACTGAGGTGTGATGCCCAAGCCGCATCACTTTTCAGAGCTGGACCATGAACAACTTCATCCTCCTGGAAGAACAGCTGATCAAGAAGTCCCAGCAGAAGAGAAGGACTTCTCCCTCGAATTTTAAAGTCCGTTTCTTTGTTTTAACGAAAGCCAGCCTGGCATACTTCGAGGATCGCCATGGGGTATGAAAACACTTGCTCTTGTCTTTGTTTTGTGTTTGCATTGAGTTGATTTGTGGGATAAACTTGAACACCTGGAATATAAGTATGTTGTGTTTAACAACTACAAAGTACTCAGAGATCGAAGCAAAATCAAAGAGAACAGAGAATCAGGTGTTAGGCTATTTTGGTTCTAAAATCCATAGGTTTAACACTCGTCCATTTTTCTTCTCCTCAAAGTTATGTTTAATTTATAAGCATAGAAATATTTTATGGAGTGAGTTTTGTGGCTAGAACTTGAAGTTCATGTGAAGTGTATGGTGTTTTACAGGCTGTAGAGCAGTAGGATATTAATTATTGCTCATCAGGACATAAGGGGTAACCTAGCCCAGTTTCTCTGTTTTACAAAAGAAGTGATTCTTAGAATTGTGAGGGGGAGGTCCTATATCAATTTTTAATGACTTGAACTGTCCTTGTCTCAATGGTCATCTCCCTCCTGAGGCCATGGGGCCACACATCCATGCAATATCTTCAAATATTTTGTATTTCATGTGTACGTGTATACGCAGAATAATCATGTAATATTCTGAAAGTTGTAAAGCATGTGGCAACCTTCTTTGTCCATGGTACAATAGCTCAAGAAACTAGGGGTATGGGGCAATGAAACACAAAGTGTCTGCCTGCAGACAAGGGCTCCTCCCTGCAGTGGCTGCTTAGCTAGATGTATCTAAAGACAACTGCCTATTGTACAGTAACAGTGACAACAAAAGCAAACAAGTACTTGGTAATAATATAGTGTGGGAGAAGCACTGGGTGGGGATCGGGAAGTCTCTGTGCTTCCCACTGAGTGAATGGACCTGGACAAATGTCCTTCTCCATCAGACTCTTTTCACTGTAAATGAAAGGACTAGACATCAACCTAAGTTCCAGTCTTCCTTTCAGAAGCCTTTGGTTGTATGCAGTGCCTCTTAGTCTTCCTCGACCACTTCTCAAAGTGTGTTTGATCTCTTATCATATCATTGTATTATTTTTATATCATTAGAGAGGTAGGGTAGAGATGAGTACTGAGGTTTTAGCTGTGTGGTCAGTGAGTCAAAGATGCTTCTGTTTCTTGCTGGTGTCTCACTAGAAGATACAGAGGTGTGTGTGGGGGAGGGAGAGGGGAGGCCCAATCTTTAAAGTTTTTCATGAACTTGGAGCAGACCACTCGGGAGGATACCTAGCCTTTTTAGTTTGGGGTAAAATAATATTGTTCCTCTCTCTACTTTTACAATGAAAAGAATCACTTGTTTTCATCAGGTCCTCACTGATAATTTGCCAAAAGGTTAGAAGGCATATGGAACTACATAGTGCTGTCCCCATTGGTCAATGGCCAGGTGCCAAGCCTTGAGCCTGGAGGATTCACCGTAGAACTAATAAATCACATGGCATCAAGTTTGTGTTTTTGTGAATGAAGCATGCAGCTCACATTTCATAATGAAAGTATAGTCATGCACCTTTAGTTAACTTTTCACAAAATGGATTTTACACTTTAGCCAGTTTTTTTTTAAATATTTTTAAATTTTTGAGATTATAAGTACATCACTTCCCCCTTCTCCATTCTTCCTTCAAACTCTTCAATGTACCCTCCTTGGTCTCTTTCAAATTCATGTTTCTATTTTCTTTAATGATTATTGTTGTTGGTGGTGGTTGTAGTGGTGGTAGTGGTGTGTGTGTGTGTGTGTGTGTGTGTGTGTGTGTGATAATGTCACCATATAATCCAAGCTTGAACTTTAAATCTTCTAGCCTCAGCCTCCAGAGTGTCTTGATTATAGGTAGGTGCCACCACACCTGCTTTACTTCTTAAGAGTCATAGAAGAATTCAAATACAAGCTGCAAATGGTGATGTGTGCTCTTAATCCCAGTGCTAAGGAGACTGAGGCAAGAGGATCAATATAAATTCAAGGCTAGCTTGGATACATGTTAATTTCCAGGCCAGCCTTGGCTACACAGCAAGACTTGATCTCAAAGTAAACAAAAAATAACTAAAAAAAGAAAAATTTCATAAAAAATAATTCATCCTGTAGCCTTTGGCTGTATATCTAATGTTTTCAGGATGGACAAGTATGTGTGTGTGTGTGTGTGTGTGTGTGTGTGTGTGTGTGTGTGTAACAAACATAAAAGTTCTTGTCTTCTAATACCAACTGTTTATATTTAACATTTTGAAACTTTTCTTAAAGTAGTATAGAAATGTATTAGTTATTCATGGTCACTGAGTTACTGTTGGACATGCCCCACCTATGGTACTTTGCCCAGGGCCATCAATGAGCACAAAACAGTGCATAGATTATAAATATGTAACTTGCACTTTTGTGAAGAACTTTTTTGTGTTTTCAATAAAAGCTTCAGTCCTCTCCATCTGTGAAGTGGGTATGATGATAGCATCCATTTTGTGGGAACCTGGCCCAGACACAGATAATGTGTGTGAGCTGGGCTACTGAAATTACCATTTATAAAATAGAAAAAGGCAGAT